AAATCAAACAGTGAAGAATAAAAGGTCTGGCAAGCAGCAGGGAGGGCCCAGTTGGGAACACATAAACTCAGTTTGTATTAAACTGAGTAATGCACGCTATGTGATGGTCCACATGGCTCCTTTGCTCCTCTCCCTAAGGTCAGGCCCTTTCTCACTTCTGCCTTTCTCACAGACCGGCCCCCTGCCTGCAAGCCTCCTACTGCGGTTAGCCATCCCTTGTCCCTTGTCCCTTGCACTTTGTATTTTGTATAAATTTGTATTTACTTTTCAGTGTCTGTTGTTGGACCTCCTTCCCCCATAGAATGTCAATTTTTTGAGGGCAAGAACTATTTGGTTTTTGTTTTCTTAAGTCTAGTACCTAGTTCAGCGCCCAGAACATAAAAGGTGCTTAATCCATACTTGTTGAATTGAATTGATCAAGAATTACTGGCACTTTTACATCTTTATAAAATCTTTATGGGAATGATTTACATGAAAATTGAGGATTTTCTTACTGAAGATATGAGAATGAAACAGGCAGGTTTTCTCAAACAAGTCTCTACAGCAAGCATATGTTTACTGTTACACAATTAACTGAAAGGTATATAATACAAGAGTCTACGTTTATTATTTGTTGGTTACAAAAAAACCCTCAAACAATTCATTTTACCTAGTAGAGTAAAATGAAATCTTAAAGGTTTTCCTCCAACAAGGACTATCTCATGAATATGTTAAGATCATATAAGATTCTTTGATAAAGGAAACCAGAGAGACAACTTTGTTCAACCATCTTCTGATTATTAACATTAATTGAGGCATAAAACAGGGAGATATATGCTTTCCCAAATTGTTCACCACTGTTATGGGGGATGCCTTGAACATAGTCCATGGCCTGTAGATGGTGAGGTCCTCTATATGCTTTTTTGTGCAAAAGATATTGGACTGATTGAATCAAGTTCCCAAATATTATGAAACCTCTCTATGAAATCTAGGATTTTTTGAAATAGATCGGCAAAACAACCAAAACAGAAAAATAATATGGATGAAAAAAGCCTGTTGTCCAGATTAGATATTGTCATGAATAAAATTCAACAAAAGGTAGACTGAGGTATATTCTCTCCAAGCAAGATGATAGTTTATTAGCAGGACATCTGGTAATAAAGTAGATAAATGGCTGCCTCAGTGAGGCCAAAGAACCTAAACAGAAGGACAGCTCCCCTTTTATGATTTTTGGGGAGTAGAGAACAAAGAACGGGTCTTTGTAGGTTGGAAACAAGTTATGATTGGGTATAGGCATGGCAGCATCGTCACAGTGAGGACAACAGCACTGGTGACAGAGATGAGGCATGAGGGACAATATAACTGGTTTGAAACTGGGAATGAGGGGCTAGCAACAATCCCCTCCTTCCTTCCTGTGACTAAGAAAAGTTCATTGTTTGCATCCACCTGCAAAGTTAGAGATAGTGGATCACACTTCTTTAGATAGCAAACCAGATATCTATGAAGGATAGCTTGATGACTCCTGGTGTTCATCCACATCCTCCAAGGATAAAAGATTTCCTTGAGGCAAGAATAGAACAGTGATTAGCAGGAGGACAGGCCAGCTGAATTTCAGAACTAAGTTCAGAGACAAAGAACTGTGACTTAGGTAGCTACAGGACAAAACCCAATTAACTACAAATAGGATCAATAAAAATGATACAAAATCAATTTAGTTTTGTCAATATGCAGTCATTATGCAGTCCACCCACTGAGAGAGTACAGGAGGAAGTGTGTGTGTGTGTGTGTGTGTGTGTGTGTGTGTGTGTGTGTGTGTAATAGACAGTACAGATGGACAGTGAGTTAAGCACCAAATTGAATAAGAGGAAGAGAACAGCTGGATTATATTTGGGGAATTGTGCAGTTCTTTTAACAACCCCAAGATGTTCCTTTAAGCAAAAACTCAACTTTTCAATGCAAATATCTCCCAAGTGATAATTTTAAGACACTACATTCCCTGAGAAATTAAAGTTGCAGGTGACCAAAGGTGTAATGGAGAACTACACGGGGGTATAAGTAAGCTGCTGCGTAGTTCTAGTTGTGACTGATGCTCAAGAAGTGACTTAACAGTTTTCACTAAGAAAATGCATAATTGGAAAAGGAGGTGGGCCAGTCACGTGTTGTCAATGAGGGATAACAAATGAGAGCCCACATATTCCCTTGGTACTGTCAAAATTTAAAAAAAAACCTAGAGGACACCATCTATATAATATAGATATAATACTATAAGAAAACTAGGAGAGCAAGGAGTAGTTTACCTGTCAGATCTATGGAGAAGGGAAGAACTTATGACCAAACAAGAGATAGGGAACATTATAAAATGCAAAACGGATGATTTTGATTACATTAAATTGAAAAGGTTTTGCACAAACAAAGCCAACGCAACCAACACTAGAAAGGAAGTAGAAAGCTGGGAAACAATTTTTACAGCCAGTGTTTCTGATAAAGGCCTCATTTCTAAGATACATAGAGAACTGAGTCGAATTTATAGGAATACAAATCGTTCCCCAGTTGATAAATGGTCAAAGGATATGAACAGGCAATTTGCAGAGGAAGAAATTAAAGCTATTTATAGTCATATAAAAAATGCTCTAAATCACTACTGATTAGAAAAATGCAAATCAAAACAACTCTGACGTACCACATCACACCTATCAGACTGGCCAACACGACAAAAAAGGACAATGATAAATGTTGGAGAAGATGTGAGAAAATTGGAACACTACTGCATTGTTGGTGGAGTTGTGAAATGATCCAACCATTTTGGAGAACAATTTGGAACTATGCCCAAAGGGCTATAAAAATGTGCATACCCTTTGACCCAGCAATAGCACTTCTAGGGCTATGTCCCAGAGAGAGCATACAAATAGGAAAAGGACTCACATGTACAAAAATATTTATAGCAGCCTTTTCTGTCGTGGCAAAGAATTGGAAATTGAGGGGACATCCATCAGTTGGGGAATGGCTGAATAAGTTGTGGTATATGAATGTAATGGAATACTACTGTGCCATAAGAAATGATGAACAGGCAAACTTCAGAAAAACCTGGAAAGTGTTATATGAACTGATGCTGAGTGAAATGAGCAGTACCAGGAGAACACTGTACAAAATAACAGCCACATTGTGTAATGACTGACTTTGATACTTAGCTCTTCTCAGCAATGCAACTAAGATAACTCCAAAAGACTCATGATGGAAAATGCCATCCACATCCAGAAAAAGAACTTTGGAGTATGAATGCAGATGGAAGCATACTATTTGCTCTCCTTTTCTTTTGTTGTTTTGTTTTTTTCTTTTTCGTGGTTCTTCCCATTAGTTCTAATTCTTCTTTACATCATAACTAATATGAAAATATGTTTAATATGAATGTATATGTAGAGCCTATATCAGACTGCATGCCTTCTTGGGGAGGGGAGGGGGAGAAAATTTAAAACTCAAAATTTTATGGAAGTGAATGTTGAAAACTAAAAATAAATTAATTTTTAAAAAAACCTAGAGGAAACCATCCAGGTTATTTAGTATAGATTCTTTAGCACGGGTAGGGAATCTGTGGCCTTGAGGCCACATGTGGCCCTCTAGGTCCTCAAATACAGCCCTTTGACTGAATCCCTTTGTTCTTTGAAGTTTGGATTTAGTCAAAAGGCTGCACCTGAAGACCTAGAGGGCCACATGTAACTGCAGATTTCTCTACCCCTGCCTAGAGGACCTATAAAATGAAACGGAGAAGAATTACACAGGAAAGCAGGGATGGGCTATAATCTGGGTAAATAGCCACCTGATAAGGTCTCAAGTCTACTGTAGAGAGTTGAAGTAATGAAAAATCAGGTTAAATCAACAAGTATTTATTAAGCATCTACTATGTTCCAGGCACCATCCTAAGCACTGGGGATACAAAGAAAGACAAAAATGGTTTCTATTTTCAAAGAGCTTACAGTCTTATGAGTGATACAACATGTAAACACAATGTACAAAAAAGATACATAAGGGACAAATTCATTAAATTTTTTTTTTGCTAGATGTATGATTTTATCAGTGTGGATAGTTGCCACACCAAGGTAGGTTGTAAACCATTCAGGATTTCTCATTCCATGTGATTTTTGTCCATGCCCTTTCATAAGATTTCCAGAAAGGAATGATGCAAGTCAGGTGATCTGTGGGATTAGGAAGCTAGCACCTGCTATCAGTAACCCTAACAAGAACACAAGCCTCTCATTCCAAGGCAGCTTGTAAGTGGTCCATAAAAGTAGGTTTGCTACAGGCTGACCAATTATACTGTGGTTGCAGAGGTATGTGTCTTGAAAGTAAAGAGAGTATGAGAGCTTGTTACGATTTGTTTATGGCGAAGCAGTATAGCTCCGACAGCCCAATGTCACTGTGTGACTTTCACTGTATGTCTTTATACTCACTAGGGCTGAGTCCCTCAGAGAGTCTTCAGTACCACCAGAGTGTGCTACAAGTTCTTCAAATTCTTAGGCAAAAGAATACTCATGGGTCAAGTGATGATTACTCTGTGTCACAAGATTACTTACAAATGCATCCTCAAAAAAACCTATGGGGCCCTTTCTTCTTCTGGGCATACTTTTATCAGAAGACATGAGACCATGACAAAGGATCATTGTAAATATGTTCTTGGTATACATAATCTTTGACATGATTTTCAGAGAGAAAAATCTGTGAAAGAACAGATCAGGAATGAAAAAGTAATTGCAAGCATTACTGAAGGGTGGAAGAGGAAAGGAGAAAAGACAAATATGAAGAGACATTAGTTTGAAAACCCAAACGGACCAGAGCAGAAAGGGTCTAAATGAAGAGGATAGATCATAGGTACTGTGCTGGGAAAGCTCTATAGGTGACTGAACAGGCAGTGCTCTGAGCTTTGGGAGGAACAGTTTTCAATAATGGAAGGATTGTTTACCTTTAGCTTCAATGGATATTACATCTGAGGTTATTAATAATTGAGATAATATATTTAGAATATTCACCATAAGTTCTTGACTTTTTACGCTCATGGAATCCCAGCATTCTTCTTTTAAAATGTTCCATAAATACATCTTAGCTAGATTTTCCATTTCTGTTTCCCTTCTTAACTGTAAGAAAAAAAGAAATTGTAATGGTTTCAAAAAGTCACATATGTAGAACTTACTAACATGGTAACTGACATGGAGATATAGACAAATATCATGTGTATATGTGTGCACACACACATGCAACCTCTATGGAGGATCTACATAATAATATGAACTAGAACAATACAGGATGAGAAGAGCGTGGATGGGCTATGATCTGCACCAACAGAGTAAACAACCCCAAGGTAACAGGTCCACTGCAGGGACAGTATGCTCCTAAAGAGGGCTGATTAGTATTTGCCTGGTGTTTTACAAATCTAGTCAAACCTTTTAAAACTGAAAAGGATGGGGTAAGGAGAAAACTGCTCAGTTCCACAGAGATAAAAATATAATATGGAAAGAGTAGCTGTTGAGCACCAGGAAGGCCACTGAAAAGGAGCCAGTAGTAAAACCCATGACTGAAAATATCTATATCTAAATGCATGAATGTAAGGAAACAAACAAGCAAACTAGAAGTCCTAACACAAGAAGGCACATTTGACCTCGCAGATATCACTGAGCCTTGGTAGGATGAAACTCATGACTGCAATATCGTTCTGGGGGCATTTTTTTCCCCAAATAAAACATCATGGGGGAAAAGAGAGGAAAAGCAGATAGCATTATACATTAAAAAGGTATATGCATGCGAAGAAGTATAGTAATCAGAGAATGCATTGTTGAAAGCCATTTGGATAAAGGTCAGTAAAAGGACAAAGTAAAGCAATTTTCTCTTCAGGTAATAGATCATAAGCCAGGCATAGAGGTATGATATAATAATGATAAAAGACTTCAATTCTTGTAATATCATCTCTTTCTCTCTCTCTATCCCTCTCTTCTCTCCTCTCTGTTTCTTTCTCTTGCTCCCTCCTAAAGGCAGAGCAGCTAAAGCAGACTGTCACCTTTCCCGCTGCCGTCTGTACTGCCTTCCTCAGCACCACTGCACTCTGAGGGCTGGTCCTTGACTTGCCGAATTCCTAGGCAGACCTGTCCCACTCCCCACCCTACCCACCACACCAGCTGCCCCAGACTAATCAGCTCCTCTTTGTGTTTTGCCATCCCCTTTTCAGTTACTTCTATTATGTCTGACTCTTCATGACCCCCTGTGGGGTTTTCTTGGCAAAGATACTGGAGTGGTTTGCCATTTCCTTCTCCAGCTCATTTTACAGATGAGCAAACTGAGGCAAATGAGGTTAGGTGACTTGCCCAGGGTCACACAACTACTTAGTATCTGAGGCTAGATTTGAACTCAAGTCTTCCTGACTCCAGGCCTGGTACTCTATCCACTGTACCACCTAGCTGTCCTTACTACAGTGCAAATTCCTTGAGTTTCACCACATCCCTTTTTCTCCCACTCATGCTGCCACCACCAAGATGCAGGCCCTCACTACCTCATGCCTTAAGACACTCCTCACTTTAGCCTGTTCTCTGCTTGGCTGTAAAAGAGATCTCCTTCAGGAGTGGATCTGACCTTGTCACACCCCACCTACCTGATAAATTTTGGTGGCTTTTAAATCTCTTCACTGGCCCCTTCCTGCCCTTCCCATCTTCTTATACTTTACTCTCCTCCATGTATTCTCTGATCTAGTGACCCTGGTCTTCTTGCTGTTCCTCAAACACGATACTCCATCTCCTAACTCCATGTCTTTCCCTTCATGCCTGGAATGCTCTTGTTACCTACAACTTTTGGTTTTCCTGGCTTTCTTCAAGTTTTAGCTCAAAACTCATCTGCTCAAACTGCTAGTCCCTTCTCTCTGAGATTAGCTCCCATTTACACTCTCTCTTGTATGGAGCATGTTGTCCCTCCCACACCCCATTAAAATGTGAGCTCACTGAGGACAGGGACTATATGTTTTCCTGCATTCTGTATATCCTCAGAACTTAGCATAATTCCTGGAACATAGTGAGCACTTGCTTGTTGATTGGCTGACTTGCCTTAATGATTTCATCATTTAAAAGGTTGAAGATTTGAATCAATAAGGGGAAATTTCACTCTATTTCTGATTCTCACTAACATGGAATGCTTTCTGGGATGGAAATAATGGAAACCTTGGAAGAGAAGTGACCATTCTGTTTTAGAATTTGTGATAATGAGGGTTAGGGAAAATGGACATAAGGTTTTTGGTGAGCAGATTTCAGAAGGTTCAGAGAAAGAATACTTAAGATTCCATGGACAGAGGAAGTCGGTCCATCAGGGATAGGAAACTTTTAAGAATGAAATTCTGAAGTCACAAAGAGAATGAGTTTTGATGAGGATAAAAAGCTGGAGTTGTCTGAAGAGACTTGTATGGATACACAGAGAAATCCTTAAGCAATTTAGATTTTTTTAAAAAGTAAAGGAGAGAAGATGAAAATGAAGGCAAATAACAAAGGGCAAGTACAAGAGTGGGCAGAGTACTGTAAGAAAAGTGTCAGGGTGAGTTAATGCTACTGAAGAAAACTTAAGGCCACAATAAAAATGTTAAGCATATTGAGGAAAAGAGAAAGATGGAGAAACATGCAGAACTGCTGCTTGAAACAGATGGTGTACTGATAACTGACAACAGATATGAGGCAGATAAGGCTGCTCAATTCTGACTGTGCTTCTGATTTTGTTTTTTATTTTGTTTTTTTTTCTGCCAAGAAAGGATAGAAGAAAAATGACTATTAGGGAGTTCCTATCCAAGATAAGTTGGGAGATGGTAAAAGAACATTTAGCTGTGCATGGATGAATCAAAGTCCCTGATCTCTAGGTCAGAACCACATCCTCCAACACTGAAAGAATTGATGTACAATTGCTGAGCTGGTATCAATCTTTTGAAAGATCTGTGCAAAGAACAAAGAGAGCTGTGAATAGTAAAAAAAAAAAAAAAAAAAGGAGAGATACAAAATGACTAGAGACAAGTAAAAGTCTCCATTTTAAAAAGCAGGGTGGGTGAGGGGAGCGGGAAGAGAATGGAATCTGGAAGTAAATAGAAACTATAGCTCAGTGACCTTGGCTTTGATTCTGGTAAGATGTGTTATAAAGAAATGATTAGGGAACAGGTAGAAAAGGAAGCAGCAATCACAGAGTTAGCACAGCTTCATTAAGAACACTTCACGACAAATGTAAGTCTCCCTTTTGGATCAGTGTTAAATGGTTCTATGATAGTTGGTGGGAGGTCTCCACCAGTGCCCAGGGATGGATCCTTGGATGGGTACTCTAATAAACATTTTTTACCACTGATTTGGATAAAAGCAAAACAGCATGCTTATCAAATTTATAGGTGATACACAGATCTGAGAGGGATATCTAATGCAGTGCACAATAAGAGTTGGGGTCCAAAAAGTCACCAACACATTAGAACACTGGGATGAATCTAATAACATGAAATGTTGTTGTTTAGTAACTTAGTTGTGTCTGACTCTACGTGGACTTCATCCACAGGGTCTTCTTGGCAAAGATACTGGAGTGAATGATTTGCCATTTCCTTCTCCAATGTGTCCCCATTTTATACATGAGGAACTGAGGCAAATAGGGGTTAAATGATATGCCCAGCTAGTAAGTGTCTGAGGCTGGATTTGAACTCAGATCTTTCAGACTCCAGGCCTGGTGCCATCGTCCACTGTGCCTCCTACTTGCCCTAAAATGAAATGTAATAGGTTAACAACACAAGATAGGTTACAAACACAAGATAGAAGAAACATATCTGGGATTTTAAGTGTACTGAGAACTCAATATGATTCAACAATGTGATGTGGTAACCACAGAAACTAATTGAATTTGGGGCTGCATTAAGAGAGGCATAGCTTCCAGAAGCAAATAGACGACAGTCTCTCTGTACTCTTTGCTAGCAGAGCATACCTGAAATATCATGTTCACTTCTGGGTGCCACAGTTTAGAAAAGACATGGATACAAAGGAAAACTTTCAGAGAAGGACAAAATGGATGGGGAATGAGTTCATGCCACATGACAGACTGAAAGAATTGGAGATGTTTAGTGGCAGAAGAGAAGATTCAAAGGGGACATGACCACTGCCACTTGAAAGGCTAACATGTGAAAGAGAGATTAGCCTCGTTCTGGCTAGCTCATTTACTGCCTGTGGCAGCCCAATCCTCTTTGCCATAGCTCTAATAGTTGGGAAATTTTTCCTGACACCAAACCTAAATTCACCTCTTTGCAGCCTCTACATACTACTCCTAGTTTTGCCTTATGAGAGGGTCCTATCCCTTCTTTGATCCTCTTTTCCCAACACAGAAAAAAAAATAGAGAAACAGGTCCTTTCTGGTTGCCTTTAAGATTCCCTTGCTAGCCTCAGATCACTCAGTTTAAGGTCTTCTGACACCTTTCTTGCAGCAGGGTACCTATTACTCATTCTCAGTACATACTCTTAAAAGTCCAAGTTGGATGGGCTTTTCTTTGTATGTTCATATAGGTCTCTTTGGACAATTCTAGCTTTTCTTCCCCATTGAAATTATTTCCCTTTGTGACTTCAGAATTTCATTCTTAAAAGTTTCCCGTACCTGACAGGTTGACTTTTTATAGTCCATGGAATTCTGCCTAACTTTTCTCTGAATACTATGAAACCTGCCCTCCAAAAATCTATGTACATTTCAGATTTTGCCCTGCTTCCTTCTCCTACTCAATCATATATTCTAAGATGGAATGGTCACTTCTCCCCTAAGGTTTCCATCCTTTCCACACTAGAAAGTAGTTTTTCCCTGTTAGAATTCTATCTAGAATGGAATTCCATCTAGAATTCTATCTAGAACCCTGTTGGGTCCTCCAATTTTTTGAAGGATAAAATTATCATTAAGACCTGAGCTGTCCTGTTACTACCCAGGATCTGGTACTGATGCCTTCCAAAAGATAACATATTTTATTCTTATTTATAACTCCCCTTTTACTTTGCACAGTATTATGCCCATAGTAGATTCTTGGTAAGTATTTGTTGAATGAATGAAAACAAATTTAAATACTAATAGGTGCCAGCCACTGTGCTATGCCTTGGGGATATAGGGGAAAAAAAGTAAAGACAGTCACTATCCTCAAGGAGTTTACAATCTCATAAAGGAAGATAACCCATCTAAGGAGTTATGGCCGGGAGTAGTATTCTAGCTTGGAAAGTTACAGTCAGTTCAGGGATGGTGAGTGGAGCCATAGGGGAATAAATGAACATATCCTTTCCCAGTAGCAATGACAGTACTGAATTGATTATGATTCTAGAACTGGAAGAGTTCATGTGGCAAGGCAGCTGTCAAGAAGATGGTGGGGGAGTAGGGCGAATGAATGAAACTGTTTATTATTTTTAGATCCCATTTATGCACACATTTATTTTCTTATTATGTTGGAAAACTTCTCATTTTGCTCTTTCCTCTTTTCTTGTTCATGTCATTAATTATAAAACAATGATGCTTCAAGTAAATTCTCCTATACCTGTGCTACTTCTTTATCATTTTCAGCGTAAAGTTTTCTCATTTCTTCAACATCCAGAAAAAATTCTTGTTGTTTTAGTTGTGTAATCTGAGGTGCCAAATCATTTTCCTCCAGCATTTCCTGAATCTGAATTAAAACACAGAAAATGTTGGTGACAAGTAAACAATTTCTGCTTTAGAGTTCTTTCCTTTTCAGTCCATATACATAATGTTGCTATTCACTAAGATCTTGGGGTTTTATTGGGCTGAGTCACTAGTTCCTTGAGGCTATTCTCAGGATGGTGATTACAACTGCTTTTCATTTCAGAGCACATTCCATTATCATCTGTTCTCTTTAAGAACTTGTGCTACCTCAGAAACATTGAAGAGAACCAATAAATGTAACATTTATTTCACAAAATTCCTTTAAATAAGAAGGACCTAACCATTTTTCATTTTCCTACATATTTTGCTCAGTTCTTCCTTTATCATTGACAATTACTATCAAGTGCATCAGGTTCTGGGCTGAGCATGTGTGATAACTAACTTATTAGAACACAGCAGAAAAGTGAGCTTGCAGGCAGAGTAGGAAGAGAAATGATAAACTCTACATGCCTATCATGAAAAATTCAGTAGGCACAGTATTGGAGTAGGAGTCACGAAACTTACAGTTTTAGCCAGTGCTCTGATTCCTTGTTTTAGTTCTCTCTTTTTTTCACTAAATTCCTTAACCTCTTTTCTAACAGCCTGAAATATAACAAATAGAACACTTAGAAAGCAAGAATTTCCCCCAAAATGAATAGAAGGTATATTTTTTAAAAGCAAAACTCTAAAGAAAAGAGTACACAAAAATGAAAGAGATTATAAACTGAAGGTGAAAAGGTCTCATCACAACAACTTATCTCTCTCTAGTCTGTGCTTTTCCAGTAGTCGTGAAAGAAAGCAAAAAGACAGCTTTGACACAGGCAAATGGTCAAGTTATTGTAGAGAGGAAAATTTAAAAGTGAAAATTGGGAGTCAGTGTTCCCATGGAGAGAGTCTGAATGTGGACTCACAAACCCTGGCTCTGCTGCTCATTATCTATGTGACCTTGGGTAAGTCAATTAAACCTGTCTTAGACTCATCCTAAGAAAACTGAAGTGTGAGCCTCCAGATGATCTCTAGTTCCCTTCTGGCTCTTAATTTATGATCTTATGAGATTATATAACATCTAGTTAAATTAAAATGAATATGTGATCAGGTAAATTGTTTAAGTTAGAAGATTTTTAGAAATGGAAATCATATAGTAAATTAAGCAGATAAATGATATGGTCAGATCTGTCCTTTAGGAAAATCACTTTTGCACTTATGTGGAAGATAAATCAGAGAGGGGATTGACTACAGATCCTTGCCATAATTCCTTTTTTGTAATATATTAAAGCTTTTCACACCCACTGTGCATCTCATCATTGCTCTCTAAATTCTTCAGAGAATATAATGTTCTATGTTTTGTTGCCATATTAAAAACTGGTAGAATATTGATCTCATTGATTTTTTTAAAATACGTTTTCATTTCAGGAAGAAGTTTCAGATCAGTTTATATAATTTTTGAATTTCCCAATGGCAAATCAGCCTGGTCCCTTCCTTTTTAATCCTGAACCTAATTCACTTATCATTTGCTATGTTCATAGACAAGCTCTATAAGTTATCTTGTTAACCACATTATAGCCTGGACAACAAGAATTCTTCATTCACTTCAATGTGGACAGCTAGGCTCAATTTTTTAAAAGTGGTTTTGGATCTTTTCTAGGAGTCACTACCATGTTCTAGGTCTATGTTAATCTGTAAACAGAAGCTTCTGGAAGACAGAATCCTTTCTTAACTTGGACTTTGCACTGAATCTCTGTATGTAGTGGTGAATTTCTTTGGCAAGTATGTATCTCCTATTTTTATGCCTCACATGAGGCAGGATCTCAAGATCATCAAAGAAGGTTATCTCTATTGTTATATCTTAACAAGGAATCTTGTATAATTTTGAAATATACATGAAAAATACCTTATTGGAAGAGAGCTTTTAGGGTGGTACCTTGGTGTACCAAATGAATTCTTTTTGTAGTCAAGAAACTATAAGAACAGTTGTATCTTTATAGGCATCACTGGTGAAATAGGAGAGGTTGGGATCAAGGGTATTGGGGAAAAGGTTGGCCCTGACAAGGAGATGGGCCACTTATGGCTGGAGCAAATGAGGAAAGGATGATGAAGGTGTAGAGGAGTTTTGAAAGTGAAGAGCATGGTAGAAGAGAGAACTTATGGTGGATGGCCTTGATTTTCTCAGTAAGGTGAGATAAATACTATGAATAAATGGGGTTGGAAGTCATGTAAAGGGCTTAAAGACAGAGGAGGTTTGGAACAGTTGCTGTGGGAAGTGTGATAATCAATCAGGGAAGAATAAAAATATTGCCATGGAACAATGAGATTATTGTTGAGATTATGAGGATACAACATAAATTTATATTGGATATAGTCAGCACAGTTGCATGTTTTCCTCCAGGAACATTCAGCAGCATGAGAGTAGAAATAAAGATAGATGGTGGGTGGAACCCAAGGTTGAGAACTGGCAGGATGGGAATAATGATAAGGCAAGGGAGCAAGGTATTTAAGGGCGTAGAAGAGTGCATAGTTGAACTGATCAACTATAGAGACAAGACTATGAAGGGAGAAAAGTGAGGTGATGGTTTAGGAGAGGGATGGAAGAACTAGAGATTTCAGTAAGGATGAAGAATAGGTTAGGAGGTACAACAGAAAAAAGAGAGATGGCCTGTGATTACAGAGGAAATTTTCAGAATGAGATGATAGCAATGCCAGAGTTATGGGTGATGGTAAAATATGAGGTCTGATCTCACTGTGAGTGACTGAGGTAGGCCCAAGAGAGTTGAAAAGATTAATGACCTGGAACACATGCGTAGGGTAGAAGAGAAAGACTATAGGTGGCATTAAAGACTAAAAGCCACTAGTGGACAGTAATATATAGTAATTATATGTTATAGTAAGGCATAATTTTAAAATGTTGCCAAAGGATGCATAAATTTCTTATACTGTCTCTGCCATCAATTATAAAACTATAACTACAAAATAATGATGGTGATAATAGCTAACATTTATATAGTGCCTACTATATGCCATACATTTTATTATGTACTTGACAAATATTATTTAATTTGATTCTCACAACCCTAGGAAATAGGTGCTATTATTATCCCCATTCTACATTTAAGGAAACTGAGGCAAATAGCTGTTAAATGACTTGCCCAAAATCACACAGTTAGTAAGTGTCTGAGACCAGATTTAAACTCAGGTCTTCCTGATTCCAGGTCAGGAACTCTAACCACTGCATCACTTAGTTGTCTCTCTGTATATGAAAACACACACACATTTATGTATGCATGCATGTATACATGCATACATACATACATACATACCTCATTGTTTTTCTTTTCTAGCCAGGAAGTTTCTTGTTCTTTGGCTCCAACTGTAATGCCTGAATATTCATCCTGTGAAAAAAAGACTACCCTTGATTTCATTTTGTAAAATGCCTCAGAAAAAAAAAGATATTTATATTAAACCAAACTTCTAATCCATCAAATTGTCCCTATCCCATCATTCAACAAACATCTAAAAAAAAACCACACACCATTAAGCTTTCTTGATAATTCTGAAAATAGAATGTGATTACTTTTTGACATGCAATTCACATGAATCCCTTTTCAATAAGCACACCATATTGTGCCTGAACTAATTCTTATCCTAGTGATACTGAACCCTACTGCTGATGAACAAATTACTTTCTCCAACTGATGCTATCTACTCCCTTATTCCTATACACTTTAACCTGACCCCTTCAGCTTCCCATTCCAGATCTGCCTCTCCCTTTCACTGTATATCTTTTGGAACTTCCATTCTTTAATTAACAAACTTCCCCAAACTTCAGATTTTTTCATCGTTACATGTTCTGAAACTCATTGAAATTTGGTTTCCCCTATATGACACTGAATCTTGGATATCTTTTCCACTTCCTCTTATCTCCCCAATTCATGAGCCCTGGTGGGGAAATCAACATTCTTTGCTCCCCATTGCTACTTTTAGATTCTTGTTCTACTACCATCAGTCAGCAAACTCTTGTCTGAGGTATATTCTATTGAAATTCATAATCCGTTCAGAAAGCTCTGATTCCCCCTTCATTCTAATTCCTTTGCTCTGTTGATTATCTCCAATTTATCTTGTATTTATCTTGTTTGTACATAGATGTTTGCATGTTCTCTCCTCCATTAGATCATGAGCCCCCTGAGAGCAGGAACTGTCTTTGGCCTTTCTTTGTGTCTTTAGTACTTACCACAGCACCTGGCACATAGTAAATGCTTAATAAATGTTTATTGATTGACTGAATGATTCATAGTCTCCTTCACCTCAACTCCTATCCTCTTGCTAGGGAACCTTCAATATATATGTTGATATTCCCTCAAAAACTCTAATTTCTAAGCTCCTCAAACTACTCAGTTCCCATGACCTCTTCTAGCACCCCACCTCAGCTACACACAGGAATAGTCATTTTGCCATCACCCACAAATGTTCCACTTCCACGCTCACAAAATCCAGAATTCCTTTGCCCTCTCATAATCTTTTATCTTTCCATCATACCCTGTGTCTTAATACTGCTAAACTTATCCTTTGTCCTCACTGTGACTTCTATCCCTCAGTACCAGGCCATCATCCTTACTAATCTCAACTCCCTGGTGAATCAATTCAATTCCACGCTACCCTCTACTCTTGAAGACTTTGCTCCTTTGTCCTATCACAGATCATAACTTTCCAAATCCCAACCCAGGATTGACTGCCAAAACTGCCTCCTTTACTCCTACCACATGAAACTGAATGGAGCTGAAAAGTTACAAAATCATGCTCGCTGGTTTCACTGTGAATTTGTTATTTAATCTCAATCGGTTGTCCCTATAGCAAGGCAATCTTCTGAGTTGATTCTCTATCCCATTAACCATAGCAGCTATTCTAAACCTTCCCCTCTTTCCTCAAGCCTCCCAAGGCATACCCACCATCTCAACTAAGGACCTCAATCTTCACTGATTAAAGCTTTTTGCTGCAGACATTTTCATTTTCTCTCCTTTTCATCTCAGATCTGCCTGACATCATCACACATTCTCTCCTGTCTCATTCCAGTTTCTTGAAGAGGTTCATTTTCTTGCTAAGGCCAATCTTCCTTATTTCCTTGATCCCATCCCCTCCTGACTTCCCAAAGAGATTGCCCCAGAATCATCCTATCTTCTTGATAATCTTCAATGTCTATCTAATGGTTCCTTCCCTGTTGCATACAAACATGCTGAAGTCTGCCCCATCTTTAAAAAACAAAAACAAAAACATCATGAATCCTATTATCTCTTCTAGCTATCATTCTATTTTTTCACCTCTAAGATAAACTTTTTGGGAAAAGATACCTACAGTTAGTGTGTCTAAACTCTCCATAATCTCACTTCTGACCTTATCATTCAACTGAAACTATTCTTTCTTGAGTTACCAATGATCCCTTAACAGCTAAATCTAGTGCTCTTTTTTCAGTTCTTATCCTCTTCTACCTCTCTGCAGCATTTGTCACTATTAATCATCTACTGTATACTCTCTCCTCTCTGGGATTTTGTGACATTGCTCTCTCTTGATTCTCCTACCTATCTCACCATTTCTTCTCAGCCTTCTTTGCTGATCTTCATCCATGTTATACCCACTAATTGCAAATATTCCCTCAATGATCTGTCCTGGAACCTCTTTTCTTTTTCTTTCTAAATATTCCAACTTGGTGACCTTATCATCTCCCATTGGTCTAATTATAATTTTTGTACAGATGACTCCCTGATCTAAATATCTAGCCTACTTTCTCTCCTGATTTCCATATTACCTACTGCCTATTGGTCTTTTCAAATTAAATATCTCATGGATGTCTCATGGATATCTCAACATTTGCAAAGCAGAACTCATTTTTTCCATCCCAAACCCACCTGTCTTCTGAACTTTCTTATTAATGTTGAATGCACCAATATTTTTCTAGTCACTTAAGATTCCCAACCTCCATGTCATATTTTATTCCTCACTTTCAGTCACCACATCTAATCAGTTGCCAGCTTGTTTCTATCTGCACAATATCCCTCATATACTTTCCCTACCCTCTACTCACACAGCTACTACTCTAGTTCAGGTCTTCTTCACCTTTCACTTAGACTACAGCAATAGCCTCCTAATTGGTCCCTCTTTTTTCTTCTCTTTCTAATCAACTCTCCACATAGCTGCCAAAGTGGTTTAGCCCAAGTCTAATCATGCCACTTCCCTACTCAATAAACTCAAGTGGCTCCCTCTAGGATTAAATAGAATCTCCTCAGTTTGGTATTTAAAGCTCTTCAAAACCTAGCCCTATACTATCTTTCCATTCTTTTTAGACATTACTCCCCATCCATGAACTCTATGGTCCAGCTACAGTAGCCTACTTACTGTTCCTCATACATAATGCTCCATCTCCCACCTTCATGCCTTTGAACTGGCTATCCCTGATGCCTGGGATGCTCTTCCTCCTCATCTAATGTCTCTTGCACACTTTGGCTTTCTTCAAAATTCAGTTAAAATGCCATTATCTAAAGGATTCTTTCTGCAACCTCCCAGATGCTAACACCTTTCTTTCTAAAGTTACCTTATATTTACGGTATACGTATTTTGCATGTATCTATTTGTATACATACTGTCTCCCCTACTAGAATATAAGCACCTTAAGGTAAAGTACTATTTTCACTCATTCTTTGTATCCTTAGGGCTTAGCACAGTGACTGGAATATATTACATGCTTAATATATTGTTAAATATACCTAACATTTAGGTATTATTGCTACATTTTAGCAAAATAGCTATATTATATGCTACATTTCACTTATTTAACATGTCAATATATTTTTGTGTCCTTAATAATCTACCTTAATCATAGGCTATTGGATTCAGATTATAAGCTCATAAGAGGCAGTTTAAATGTTTATATACAACTCAGGATAAAATCAGAGGATCATAGATCTCAAGTTGAAAGGGACCTTGGAGAGGCCATCTATTCCAACTTCCTAATTTTACAGATGAGAAAATTAAGCCCCAGGTATTTTGTGATTTTACCAAGGAGATGCATATAGTAAGAGTCAGTGTCATAATACCAAATGCACTGAGATGCAAAATAAATGCTTTTAATGATGGTCACCTCCATGGTTGCCTTCTGGTCTGAATCATCTAAATAACTGTCTCAGTTTTCAATGATGTGAAAGACGAAGTCTTAACCTGTATACAAACTATAACACATCTCATGTATCATAAGTTACAGAGTAAACCGCAAACACTAAGTCAGGATGTAAGAAGAATTTTCATATAACAATTAGAAGTAAATTATATTCTCAGTTATATTCTTGTTGGGCTTCTGGACATATTCTTTCAAAATAATACATGTGGTAGAAAGGCATGGAAAAGCTTGTATAACAAAGTTTTAGTATGTTAAATGTATTTAGTATGTTAAATGTAAATGTCATGTTATAATTTTTTCAGAATTTTGAATTTTTTCTGAGTTCCAAGTTTAATATTTCTCTATACTATAATTTAAATTAGTTCAGATTCAGCATTTTTATGGGTGTGAGAAAAGTTAGAAATAGTCTCTCAGTAAGTACAAGGGGAAAGGCATCTTGAACTGTCCTCTTAAAATGACTGAATCATGGCACAAAGGGACAGTACCACATAAATCAAAGTCAAAGACAGTCACTTGAATAATATAACTAAAAACAGATTACTGTAGGACTGTGAAGTTTTTTTTTTAAATCTATATAGTAACTCAACTGATTTTCCAGAGCCTAAATCCAAACTGAGCTGGCTCTCTCTCATCTCCAATAAGGCTGAATTTTCGTTCACAATGCTGCTGTTCAGAATGTCCAGAAAGGTATGAAAATGCTGAGCAGCTTCTTGAGCTAGAGATTCAGTTATCTTTCTGTTAAGTGAAACAGAATGAGAATCAGCACATAAGAGAATCACAAAACAATGTAAAAAATCCATTTTACCTTTTACATACCCTCCCTGAGGAGATAACCATTTACTAATAAATTAAAATACAAAAAAACCTCACATTTATTTTTATATAAATTGTAAATTATTATTCATAATTTTTAAAACTCTTAATCATAATCCTAACAAAATGTAGTTCTCTTTTATTTTCATGTTTTTTAAAAATTTCATTGCTCTCATTTTTATGTGATTATAGTGAGTGTGCATATTATTCCTAGTTATGCTTTCTTCATTCTACTGGTTTATATGTCTTCCAATATTTCTTAGCATTTTATATAGCTGTCATTCCTAATGCTGCATTAATGTTCCATTATATTCATATATTGCAGTTTGTTTAGCCATTTCCTAATCATTGTGCAAATGTGTCTTTAGCCCTTTGCCATACAAATAAAACTGCATTTAATATTTTTGCGCAGATGAATCTTTTTTCATGTCAATAACATGAGTAGGATATAATCCTAAAACTGAAATTACTAGATCAAAGGGAATGAATAATTTAGTTGAACTTACTGTATAATTCTATATTGTTTTCTAAAAAGGTTGCATCACTACCAAAAGGATTATTTCTCCACAATCCCACTAATATTTAATTTTATAATTTTAAACTCTATGCCCATTGTAATTAAATAAATTATGGAATATAAAGGATCTGGACCTAGCCTATAACTCAATGCCTAATAACATACTTCCTTTTTGTCAATAAAATATGAAAATATGAGAATATGAAATAAATTGAAAAAATATTTACAAAAACATAGCATACCTACAGAGATAAAGCAGGAAATAGGTAACCTAAATAATCTTGAATTTCTTCAAATGAAATTAACTTGTTGTTAATTTTCTTAAGAATAATAATAATAAATTAACACTATTATTAATCAACTGCCAAACAAAGGCACCAATAACAGATGTATTCACATGATCATTATTCTATACAAAGAATAAACAATACCTCTACTATATAAGCTATTTTCACAAGTATAAAGAATGATTTATAATTCAAAGAGGCTAATATGGTTTTGATTGTCAACCTGACAAAAGTAAGGCAGATAAGTAAAACTATAGTCCAACATTATTAATATATACCATTGTAAAATATTAAATATTAACAAGAAATTTAAAAATTCCTTGAATATAAAATGTATTATTTTCTTCCTTATAGTTTTTTATAAGTCCAATATTTCCTAAGTTTTCTCTTGTTGAGCCTTCTTCTAGGGATCTCTCCCTTCCTTTTAGGGTTCAGTGGGGGAAGACTATGAATGTGGAACACTCCATATGTCAGACTTTTTTTGATATGTTGGTTAGTTTTAATGAACTTTAAAAAAAAATTCTTTAAGGGATGGCTCTTTGGAAGGGGTAGGGGAGGAGCCAAATTGGGAAATGAAGGTTGAGTAAAAATAAAATATATCAACAACAATGTATCTTAAAAGATTATTATTCTTCCAGATTATGGTGCAGTGGAAAGGGTGTCAGATTTTAGAGTCAGAGGAAATAATTTTATCTTTCTTAGGCCTTAATTTCCTCATCTATAAAATGAGATATTAGACTACATGGTCTCTAAGGTCCCTTCTGCTTCTAAATCCATGATCTTTTTATCTGCCACTTTTGACTGCAAAGTTTTCAAAATCTGTGATTAAGTAATTTTCCTTATTTGGTTTGCTACCTCCTCTATTTCCATCATTCTTTCCTCAAGAACACAAGTCTGTGCTTCGTTTAATCCATTGGATTTTTTTTCATGCTCTACAAAACTATTTCTAAATAGTTGAGTTCCATCATAATTTTGTTTTTACTAGCATTGATTTCTTTTATTTTATAACATAATGTTCTTATTATTACTTAATATTTTTATTTGGATAATCATATTCCTTTAGCATGTTTATTATCCATTTTATACTATATTCAGCAAATTCTAGCTCTGTTTCTAATGCTACAGTTTGCTTTAGTACATTTTCTGGCAATTTCAGCTCTGCTTATTTTAGTTTGTAACATTTTTTTCATTGTTTCAGAACTCTTCTTTGAGCAATTTAAAAATTATTTTAAGCAAATTCTAGTTTTGTTTCCTTTTTTCCATTAGCTTTTGTTTATTGACAAATAATGTACTTTACAGCCAGATACAGTACAAGAAGAGTGTGGATTTATTCCAGAATGGAAAGAAAAATCTTGGAGAAATGAGGTTACTCACAATGTGAAAGCCTGACAACTGGGTATGGTAAGGAATATATTAAAATATATAACCTGAGAAACTGAGGGCTATTCAAGGCAGAATTCTCTTTTGACCTCAGGCTCCCCAGTTGGAAAAAAAGTGGCTTACTACTAGAATCCTCTCCCTCCTCAAGGTTGGGATGCCCTTACCACAAGACGTCATTGCTGAATGTCTCATTATTCACCAAAATGCATTGGCTTTTAGCAGCAAAATCTAGATTCCATTTTATTTTATCTAACAAGGAAAGATGAACTTGTAACTCTTGAGAACTGCATTGTTATTATCACATTTAAAAGAGGTATACTTGGACATAGAGTGTGGGTATAAGTTGACTTCGATGTGATGATAAAAAATCTAAGTGGTAAAAAGGGATTGTACTGGGAGAAGAAGAAAGGAGGAGGTACACAAGGGTAAATTACGTCACATAAAAAGGCACAAAAACCTAATACACTAGAGGGAAAGAAGGGACTAAGATGAGCATCGTTTGAACCTTACTCTCACCCAATCTGGTTCAAAGAAGGAATAACATAATCAGTTAGGTATAGAAATCTAACTTACCCTATAGGAAGTAGGAGGGGAAAGGGAAAAGAAAAGGAGGTGAATAGAAGGGAGGGCAGACTGAGGGAGGTGGCGGTTGAAAGCAAAACTCTAGTGAGGAAGGAAAGGGAGAAAGGAGAAAGAAAAGTATAAATGGGGGAAAAATAGGATGGAGAGAAAGACACAGATAGTAATCATAACTGGATGTGAATGGGATGAACTCTCCCAAAAACAGGAATGGTTAGCAGAGTGGATTAAGAACCATAATTCTACAATATGTTATTTACAAGAAACACATTTGAAGCAGAGGGATATACATAGAGTAAAAGTAAAAGGCTGGAGCAGAATATATTATGCTTTAGCTGAAACAAAAAAAAGCAGGGGTAACAATCCTGATCTCAGACAAAGCAAAAGCAAAAATAGATCTAATTAAAAGAAATAAAGAAGGAAACTACACCCTGCTAAAAGGCACTGTAGACAATGAAGTAATAGCATTACTAAACATATATGCACCAAGTGGTATAGCATCCAAATTCTTTTTTTTATAATTTAAAAAACTTTTTTTTTAATTTTTAGGCAATTGGGGTTAAGTGATTAGCCCAGGGTCACACAGCTAGTAAGTGTCAAGTGTTTGGTCTGAGGCCAGATTTGAACCCAGGTCCTCCTGACTTCAGGGCTGGTGCTCTATCCACTGCATCACCTACCTGCCCCCTAGCATCCAAATTCTTAAAGGAGAAGTTAAGGGAGATACAGGAAGAAGTAGACAGCAAAACTATACTAGTGGGGGATCTCAATCTCCCCTTCTCAGAACTAGATAAATCTAACCACAAAATAAATAAGAAAGAAGTTAAGGAGATGAATAGAATTTTAGAAAAGTTAGATATGGTTGACCTCTAGAGAAAACTGAATGGGGACAGAAAGAAATATACCTTTTTTCTCAGTGATACATGGCACCTACACAAAAACTGACCACATGCTAGGGCATGAAAACCTCACAATCCAATACAGAAAGGCAGAAATATTAAATGGATCATTTTCAGAACATGATACAGTAAAAATTACATGTAATAAAAAGCCATGGAAAGATAGACTAAAAATTAATTGGAAACTAAATAATCTAATCCTAAAGAATAAGTGGGTCAAACAACAAATCACAGAAACAATCAATAACTTCATCCAAGAGAATGACAATAATGAGACAACATACCAAAACTTATGGGATGCAGTGACAGTGGTCCTTAGGGGAAGTTTTATATATATATATATATATATATATATATATATATAAATGCTTACATTAATAAAATAGAGAAAGAAGAGAATAGTGAATTGGGCATACAACCAAAAAAAGCTAGAAAAAGAACAAATTTTAAATCCCCAATTAAATACCAAATTAGAAATTCTGAAAACCAAAGGAGAGATTAATAAAATTGAAATTAAGAAAACTATTGAAGTAATAAATAAAACTAAGAGCTGATTTTATGAAAAAACCAATAAAATAGATAAACCTTTGGTTAATTTGATGTAAAAAAAAAAGAAAACCAAATTACCAGCATCAAAAACGAAAAGGGTGAATTCACCACCAATGAAGAGGAAATAAAAACAATAATTAGGAGTTATTTTACCCAACTGTATGCCAATAAATTTGACAAACTTAGTGAAATGGATGAATATTTACAAAACTATAAATTGCCCAGATTAATGGAAAAGTAAATAAAATACTTAACCCCATTTCAGGAAAAGAAATTGAACAAGCCATCAAAGAACTCTCTAAGAAAAAATCTTCAGGGCCAGATGGATTGTATCAAAACATTTAAAGAACAACTAATTCCAATACTAAATAAAGTGTTTGGGACAATAGGCAAAGAAGGAGTCCAAGCAAATTCATTTTATGATGCAAATACAGTGCTTATACCTGAAGTGGGAAGAGCCAAAACAGAGAAAAAAAATTATAGACCAATTTCCCTAATGAATATAGATTCAAAAATTTTAAATAAAATATTAGCAAAGAGATTACAGCAACTTATTTCAAGGATAATACACTACGACCAGGTAGGATTTATACCAGGAATGCAGGGCTGGTTCAATATTAGGAAAACTATAAGCATAATTGACCATATCAACAAGAAAACTAACAGAAATCATATGATTATCTCAATAGATACAGAAAAAGCATTTGAGAAAAC